CACGCAAAGGCTTCAGTGGACCACAGCAGGGTCGGTTTTCGCAAATTGAAGAGCTGCTCGGCGAGTATGTGCTTGAGCAGCGAGCGGCACAGCGGCCCGTGACGCCAGACTGCTCCTAGTGCGGGCTATGCAGTTAGCCTTAGAAAAAGGGCTAATGCGGAGCCAGTTTAAAGCGAGCAGGTGCTGGCTAACTAACTTTATGAAGAGAAAAGGCTTTTCCCTCCGAAGGTGAACGGGCATATGTGAAAAGTTTTGCGGAGGAGTACGATGAAAAGCTTCACAGTTTTCAGAGGTTCGTCCTAAACTTGCGGCGCAACAACGGCTACCTGCTTGGGCAAATCGAGAAATGCCGATCAGACGCCTCTTTACTTCGACATGCCTGGCACCACAACAGTCGAGAAGGGGGCGAAGCAAGTTCGCGAGCTGACATCGGTCCACGGTAAAACTACAGTGACGGCAATGCTCTGTTAAACGTCAGATGGGCACAAGCTTCCCCCGTACCTTTTATTTAAATGGAAGACTCTCCCGAAAGGAGTTAATTTTTCGAGTGGTGTGATCATGCGGGCCAGCGAGAAAAATGGGTGCGCGTTGCAATCGATGTCTTACCTTTTCTTTTTTTTTTTTTTTCGTCGTGGAAATCGGGTGCGCGTTACAATCGAGGGCGCGGTAGAATCGAGTAAATACGGTACCAATCTTATCAACAAGTAACATATTTCTTTGAAATACAGGCAAACAAGTTTCCAAATGGCACCTCCTGCAAAGCCAACTACTACACTTCAGCTGCAACAGCATTAAAGTTGAAGGGACTTGGTGACACCTCTCTAACCATACATAGAGTGAGTTCACTATTACATTCTATTGCTTTAAGAATCAACTGGCCACAAAATCTTTTTATGAAAACCGTTAAGTGTAAGCAGAATCACAGGGTATTACAGGCCAACAACGAAAGAACATGTGTTGTGGGTCTTTTTCTTTTGTCCCAGTTCCATCAGTGCTTATTTTTATCATCAGTATGACAAAAAATAGCATTTCAAATAAGCCCAAATATCAACAGCGCTGAACTTTATTACAGGCTCCGATCCCCCTTTCTTTTCCCTTCTTATACTGAATGCACTGAAAACTACATTGGGGAGGTTAGAAACTGTCAGCACGCACTGTGGCCTAGAACCGTGGTTTTCACCTTTCCTTCTCTTTTCAGTTTCACATTCATTAGTAAATGCGGGCAGTCTAAAAGAATCATGGCCACGGTAAAGTGAGGTGTGCTCATAACGCAAGACTGGTCTATTCATTTAATAGCAGACACAACTCTACTGCAACAAATACGAAAGAGACCAAAGGACTTGCAGGGATCAAACCGTGCAAGTCCCTAAAGTAATGCTCAAAAAAGAAGTATACTCACATCCGCGTCAGCATCATCGTTTGCTGCAATGGACGTGACATAGCCGTCGTACTTGCTCTGTGTGTGCCCATAGATGTCTTCATCCATGTAAGCACCATTGGCACTTGCTGTGAGGGGCACACCTTCGCCATTGTCGAAGTTGCCCTGCTTGCCCACATTAGCCTTGCGGGCCTGGATCTCGCGGATCTGCGCCTCAATGTCTGTGACGACAAAAGAAAACAAGTGCATGCAAACTTTAGCGTAACAGAGCACTACCATGCAGCTCACAGTAACTCGAGGTACTACAAAACTACAGCACTGTATTTCGCACACACAAACAGCAACCATGCACGGCACAGGAAATTACAGTAGATCACTAGTGCTTTGGCAGCTACAGCTCATGGATCCAGCTCGTATGCACAAGCTACGTCCACCTGACAGAAGTCACTGAGGGCGGTTACCTAAGACACAAATACGTTCATTTTAATTTAATTTGCGAGACAAAATACTAATGCGTCTCGGAAAGCGCAGTCAAACGCACCACAAGCATCTCGCACATTACCTATTCAAGTGCCCGTGAACAACAAAGAGGACAAAAGCTACGTTTCCGTGCTAGCTTTAAAAAACGGCGGCGGCCGATGGTTGGGGAAATGCGATTAAGCATACGAACAGGACAACGGCGTGTTAGTGTCACTGCATAGCACAATACGTTACGGCACAATTGCATGCTTGTTTTATCGGACGACGTGACAAAGCAGCTACCAGCAAAAAGGTGCAACGCTCGAAGGGATTTTGGCGTCGCGTAAGAATGTTTACAATACTAACACGGGAAACAACTGAGTAAATGATCACGTAGGGACTCAGCAACATCGAACATTTAGCGGCACTGCCATTAAAGCGCGTCAAACCACCATAAATGACTTGAAAGAGCGACACTAATCTGCACAGGCTACAAAACTTGCAGTGGTTCCTGCATACGGGGCTGCGAGCGCGACGGCAAGGTTCTGTTCGGCGTCAGCGACACTGCACCACAACAGACGGACAACGCTCGAGCTTACCGAATGTACTGCGGTTGCCGAGTTTTATACACAAGCGACACTTTCGCCAGCTCTTCAAATATACTAACAAGCCGTTTTGCCGACGAATGTCCAAGTTTTACAACCTCCGCTCGAAATCCAAAACAGGCAGAACCAATTTCAGCAGACATTAGGCCTAACACGTCGTTAACAAATCGTCAGCAACGCTACAGTATGATACTCCTACAGGTCCCGGGGCACAAGTTTTTGTGAAGTATAATGCTAAGATACTGATCATTTTGTGCGATATACGCTAATTTGCGCGCATGCACGCTATGAAGATCATTTACCTTCGGCTGACACTGGTGGAGCGGCCATGATTACTTCTCTACATCTGCTAAAGTACGTGATGATGACTGCTACCTGCTGCTACTACCACGATCATTTCAAACAACATCAAAACAAACCATAGTTATATATAAAAGATGTGTTTTTATATCAAAATGTTAAACATTACGCATCTGAGTACACTTACGCTTTCTTTTCAGTGAAAACAACAAATTTCAAAGGCCATGCTTTTGCGCATGCTTGAAGTGACGTCATTGATTATGTCGCGTCGTCTATGAACTTGCGGTACACATCTGTGCTGGTACATAGCTAGCATAGAGTTTCACATGAAACTGTATGATAGCTAGCATAGGAACATAGCATTGCTTTTGAGGTTTATGCTGTCACGCAGGGAACACCACCGACATCACCACACACAACTAAAAGCAAAGAGTAGAGGATGTGTGCTCAACTGGACATAAACCGAAATTAAAGTGGGGGAAGAAAAAAAGCCTTTTCATCAGTTGAACCTTATAAACTTTAAAATAAATTAGCATAAGTGTGTAGACAAAAGTCTGTTAAGTGCTAAATCCAAATGTGAAGGACGTTAGGGGAAAGTAGGAGGCCTGAAGTGATGAGAAATAGTAAACATTCACTGTCGCTGGGGCCAATGTTTTGACAAGTGAACTTATCAAAACGTTGGCTGTACAGCCAGGGGCTTAGCCAAAATTTTTTCGCGGTGAGGAGGTGCATCCAACTAACCTTTATGTTTGTGCATATGTTTGCATGTGTGCATTTACGCACACACAATATTTCATTTTATGTAATAAGTGAAATAAAATAAAGAATTTTCAAAGAGGAGGGGTGGTAGAACTCAGCCCAAAAGTTGATTGATTGATTGATATGTGGGGTTTAACGTCCCAAAACGACCATATGATTATGAGAGACGCCGTAGTGGAGGGCTCCGGAAAATTTCGACCACCCGGGGTTCTTTAACGTGCACCCAAATCTGAGCACACGGGCCTACAACATTTCCGCCTTCATCGGAAATGCAGCCGCCGCAGCCGGGATTCGAACCCGCGACCTGCGGGTCAGCAGCCGAGTACCTTAGCTACTAGACCACCACGGCGGGGCCAACTCAGCCCAAAAGTGAATCCATCAACATTCCCCATTCAACGACTTGTCACCTCTGTTAAATGCCAAATCATTTATGTGTTTATTGAAGTAGTTAGGTAGGACATATTGTTCTGCAACAGTGGCACTCACCCCAGCCCAGTTCAGTGGCGTTCACCGCAGTTGCAGCAACAGGAACTTGATCACCGTTAGCACCACCAGGCATGGGACCTCCACACATTATCACAATCACCGAGTTTTTCCACTGGCTGCGCATCCCAAACCTGGTAGGCGAATTTCGCCTCACGGAAAGAAACGGTCGCTTAGAAGAAGCGAACGGTCTCTCCATAAGCCGGGTTGGCAGAGGTACAATATAGATGCACAAAGTGCACACAAGAGTGTTTACTGCAACTGCATTAAATGCTACATTATTCCACACAGAACAGAAATTGTGAGGACACTAAGTTGGTGTGCCATCAGTAGAGTGGCCCATCAACGCAAACAAAACATGCTGGCAGAGGGTAGCTTATAAAGACACTTCAAAACTGTAAAGCTAGCTTTTCTAAGAGGCAGGTTGCCCAGTGGGTTTAATTATTTTTGTAAACTGTGTGTAGAAGATCAGTCTACATGTGTTGCATCACAGAAAACTTTGACTGCTCTCATCATGAATCTTTGACATATAGAAGCTTCAGGCCCTCTAGGGTGGTATAATGGTTACGGTGCTCGACTGTTGACCTGCAGGGGACAGGATCCAATCCTGGCAGCCGCACTTTCAATACCGACAAAAATTCTCAAGGCCTGTCTACTTGGCTTTAGATGCACATTGAAGAACATCAGGTGTTCAAAATTTCCAGAACTCTCCACTTCAGCATCTCTCATAATCATACCATGGTTTTGGGACATTAAACCCCATGAATTAGAAGCTCCAGCATATACATACAACACTTCATCTTTATTTGAATGACTAATGATACTGCTGTTCTGTATGTGTTGTGCAAAATATTTCAAATGAAAATGACAAAAGTGTCCATTTTCACACTAACTGTAGCTGTAGAAGCCGTACACTGAGTGTGCAGTGTTCCGAGAATTCTTCCAGCAGCAAACTTCACTGGAAATGTGACGCTGGTAGCAATGTCAGATACGAAATCCAAGAGCACAATGATGCACAAAGGACAATGAATGCTCTTTATTTCTTGCACAGTCATTTCTATATAAAACATGATAAAGGCTTGAGCCTTTCACAGGGAGTTAACATTACAATCCCACACACCAAATCTCGATGCACAAAAATAACACGTAAGGCACAAGGTGAAAAAAGGTGAAAAGGTAGTTTAACATCAGTTTGAAGGTTGCAAGATTCTTCTTTACAGGGCAAGAGGCTTCACTCATACATTGCATCAACAATGCCAAAGTGAACTAATACTGGAAGATACGAAAATAGATGCGCCTGTAATATGATGTATACATATATGTGTGTCTATACATGTAATACACAGGATGAATTCTAGCTGTACCAAATATTTTTATGATGACATGCTGTTTTTAGTGGCAGAAGGTGCAACAAATTTTTTAGATAACAGCAAGGGGAACTACGGTTGCACTCCCAATTGAATTGATAGGCTGGTGACCTCTAATTGTTATGCAGTCATAAGCAGTATCACGAAACACTTTTGATCACAACCATGCTTGAATGGGATAGTATTGCAAAATACAATAAATGATTACTTTACCCTAGCAGTACTCAGGTGAAATTGACAGAGCAAAAAAGTGCCTACAATGGCATTCTCATCAAAAATGCCGTTCATCACAAGATGACTGCAATTACTCCACAACTGAGTACTTTGAAGTCTGCTTTAGCTCTTCCTTTATAATCTTTTCCACTTAAAAAAAAAAACAGTCATTTTATTGCCAGAGGCACACCAATTCCAAATCATTCTATTTACACTGCAAGAACATACTAGCAGCTTTCAGTGCTTGTCGACCACCAATATAAAAACTCCAAGATAAAAGGAACAGGTCAGTCATAGAGCACTGGCACAATGTTATTAGTCATAAAAATGTGAAAATAATGAGAATCTATAAGAGACAAATGAGCTTTTACTTCATCTCTGCAGGCTTTCTCAATCTAGAGGTCATTCAAGCAAGTCAACGAAGTAGCAAACATAAAGTTCCCTACACATTCACATTTCTAGTTAGGTAACTAATACCTAGCCAATAGTCCTAAATAACAGAAAAGCCAGCTAAGCAATATAAAAGGCCTGTCATAAAGGCATAAATATAATACCCAATAAAGAATAAGAAGCTTCATTCTCTCGGCAGGGCATTTTTCATGGCCACAGGTTCAAGAATGTGTGATAATCACTAATATACAAATTTATTAAGAATGCACATAGTATATTACATTATTTTGAGGGCAGGTTGCAACAGCTAAACAAAAGCCAGCCAAAACATAAAGCATGCCAGTTTTTCCTAAAAATCAAGTGACCATCACCAGTCTAGAAAAACAGGCAATTAAAAAAGGTGTGTTACTTTATTAACACTTTTCTGAACTGCAACATTCCTCCGGTTAAAAAAAAAAGGAGAAAAAAACAGCCCTAAGAACTATCAGCAATGCTCTTTTGATGCACATAAGAAATAGCTTGTATGCATTAGTGATAGTCCCATATTTCAAGCAAACATGTGTGCCCTTCATAGCACCTGGCTTTAGTTCAGCAGTAAAGTTATGCTTAAAACAAGTTCTGTCAAGAGATCTCACTGCATTGTCGCATAGATCATAATAACTGCTGCTCCCCGTTATATGTTGCTTTTACCAATTGAATGGTCTTCTCTTAAAAAGCCAAGCGCAAAAATATTGCAAACTGAGAGTGACGACAAAATAAGTAGATTAGATAATGTTGCATAGACGAAGCTTAAGGTACCTAAATACAAAGCATAATTAAAAGCATAAAAACACCAATATGCTATAGCAGGCACAAATATGTAGAGCTAAAACTAACAAGCCACCGGAATAAATAGAATGAATAAGCTTGCAACAAGAGTATACATAAATAAATGCAAAAAGAAAGAGATTTTAATGAGTACCTAATATTAAGTAGATAGTATGGAAGCTTTGTCAAAAGTGGCAAGACTCAGTAGGTCGAGAAGCATAGGGACAACTACAAATGTATATGAGAATAAAAACATGTGCACTTTGAGTAAAGTGTGGGTACACGCAGAGTTTGTGTACTAGATGGCCTTAAAAATGTGGGATACAACACAAAACTGAATATGTATACGTAGATAACGCAAGTATATAGTCATGGTATGTGTAGGATTGCCGCACCTCTGGCACCTATGAAAGCAATTGCAGTAAACTTGGCGCCAACATCACTCAAACTCTGAAACAATATGCTTTCAATACCAAAACAACTTGGCATACTTAAGTGGTCCTAACAAACATTTTTTGTTAACAGTACATCCAAATTTAGGCACCAAGAAATACGACACTTGAAAATGCAAAATCGGACAGCGCTCAAGTTCTTTCATCAGTTATTCATGGAGAAAAAAAAGATACTAACTTGTTAAACAAACTTTTAGAAAGAATACAGATGCATTAAATGGACAAGCTTCATTGATTTCAAGCACACCAGAGTGTTTCTATCAAAGATCTGTCCATCAAAGGATGCCACGCTGGCTTCACAGTAAACAGTGGGCACTGTAGTGACACCACCTGTAAAGTGTGCTAAACATAGCTGCACATTTTCTGCAAACAAGCTGCTCACACTGCATAAACATGTATAAAATATCACCAGTATACACATGTGGTGCCTGGAACACCCTATCAGATCAGTTATTTGTACTTTTCTCGTAAGAGTAAATAATTTCATTTATAAAAAAAAATGATTAGGCACATTCAAGGAAGTGATGATAACTTTTGAAATATAGATGCACGGTGCAGGAGCATTAAAAAACAGTTGAATATTGCTGCAATGAATATGCACATGACGTGTAATTATTTGATTATAGCAGCAGACGTCATAGCGTATATTGATTCTTTCTTCTGGTTAACCTCCCTGCCTTTCACTTGACATTTCTCTCTTTCTCTTAGGTTTAGTTTTGCAGTTTGGTATACAAAAGCCAGCCTTTATTGAAGTTAACATCGTTTACCTATTCTATTACCACATCCTTATAATGTATGTACAATGACAAGCATTACTCCTTTTTTGACCGCTCAGGCAGCACAGCTTTCAAACGCATCTACGTAACAACTTAGCAAATTAATGATTGCAGTGTTTTCACCAAACATACTACCACTTTCTCGCAATCACAATAGGTCTTCAGAATCGGATCACAGATGACAGGCATTGTCGTATCATAGCATCAAGCATCAGCTTTTGGCTCACAGCTTGAGCCAAAAAGACTATGCAGCATGACATCGAACAGAATCATTTTTCAAAGCTTTAGGTTTATAGTAACCCTCAGGACAGATATTCCAAGTGTTGATCAACACTTGCCAGACACAGAAACATGGAACCAAAGTCAAGCAAAGCACAAAGGCTATTTCTAGCTGAAGTGCTGTAGTGTTTCATAGGTTGCCCCCCAGTGATCATAACAGCCCTATGAAACGAATGAATATACGTCTGACTCATTGATGGCCTTTAACATAAAATGTGCTATGTCCCAGACAGTTTGGCTGCACAATAAATGTTGTAAAGTACTGTCAATGATGTACCACTGAATAACAATTAAAGAAGAGCTGACATGTGCTTTATGCCTTCCTGTGTATATTAGAAGTCGGATAGCCGGTAGCTGCAGATGGCCATCTTAATGATATGCCATGCTTAAAGGAGGAAACAAGTCCTAAAAGAAAGCATACCTGTATAAAAGAGGTATATTCTCAATCGCGTAAATGACGCTTGCAATGTAAACTTTTACCCCCTCTGTATTGCACGCTTATGTCACCATTTTTTTAAAGCGCCACGTAATGTAAAGAAATGTTACAGTGGAATGTGACAGTTCAGTAGAAATATGAAAATAGAAGTAAGATATGGGCTTTTCACCAGCTCTGCAAGAAGGCAACATAGCAGCCAGTAAGACAACAATGAACCCATTGCTCAGGTTCTAATGTGTACAGCATAACGTTTCAAAATAGCAAAGAGCCACCAAACCGCGATCAATGGGACTCGTTTATTTTGTTTATAAAGATCAGCTAAAGTCCTTTAACAATAAAATTCACAAGGCCTTTCAACAGTGCAGGCTTTTGTTCCACATCACATTTTCCCTCTCTGGATCCTCGCAACTCACACCAATGTTGGCAACCTTGCCAGTGCGTTTTGGGGTAGCATGACAGGGAAAAGAATGACAACAGCAGGACAGCAGTGCACAGTTTTTCAGCAACAACTTCTGAGCCCACTTGTCAAGCTAGTCAGCAAATGCTAACTACTACAAAACAGCCTTCACATGCTGCTAATATGCACTAAAAAATCTGAAATCTACTAATATTTGCAGCAAACACACATTGACACGAAAAAGTTGAAACACACGGTAAATAGACGCTTCTAAAGCTCTCAAGCTTGTGATGCGACATATGCAAGCCGAATTCGAAACCTTTACGTCTGCAGTAACATCAAATTACTGACTGAACAACATTTTCAAAATCGGTCATCTTTTTCGTCATGAAATATGCCAGAAGAGCTGCGCCAACAGTTATTTCGTAGCACCATCTACACTACATACTATATAATAGAGTGAGAAAGATCGCATGGATGTATGAGGCACTATTTCTGCCTCCTTGTAGGGAGCGTGGTTACTGCCAACTATAATATCGAAGCAAGATGCTGCAAAACTCTGACACCATTTTGCTGAAACTGAGCCAAACTGATCCACTATTAATTGTTGCGAACCTGCACTAAACAAATGCAGCATCTGAAAAAAATCACACTTCTTGCAGTTAAATAAGCCTGCTAATGTAAGAAGTCTGGCAAACTAGCAACACAATAATGCTACTGGTCACTTTAGCACAGACACAAAGGCAGTATCTGTTTGGGCTTCGAGATATACGGCCCAAAGATCTTCTGGTTCACTGCCAGTAGTGAACAAATTAACGGAACCAATCATTAGAACCGGAGGTAGTCAGCCAGACCTCAGCAAAATAGTCCAGGCCTCTCACTGACTTCACGTCAATACGTGGCGCTCAACACTGGGCTTCCACGCCGAGACATTGCCAGTTGCCGTTTGTGGCTGCCCAGAGCCATCACCTGCTGACGGAACCTGCTGGCTTGTGGTGTCTGCAGCTAGGCCAGCTTCACGAAGAACCTAAAACCAGTAACAAATAAAACCACTCAAGAAACTGCCAGCGATTCCAGCCTTCAACATCAGCAGGCAGTCAAATTTGTAGCATGATCCATGTACAGTAGAATCTCGATGATATGATTACGGTTGATGCGAATTTTGCAATGATACGAATTTTAAGGTTGTTTTGGATAGACTACATAATATAATGTACACCTTGATTCGGTGTTATACGAATGGTTTCCCCAGCCACCGTGGATGATACGAATGCGCGATTGACCACTGCATGCCAGCGGCGCAACACGGCAAAAACACGCCGCGAGGCTGACGTGAAAAAATCAGTTCGAGACCAATTCTCCCCGCATGCAATAGCATAGTACTGCCATTTTGCTTCACTGCTTTGGCTTCACCGGCTGCTCTGTCGCTCTATCTCTCAAAACACGTGATGTCAACAACCATAGAGTTTCCTAATGTACACTAGAGGGAACTCTGGCGCTAGTGTCTATGGGAGCTGCAACGCACGGAGCTTCAGCAAGCATGGGAATGATGGGTATTACACACATTTGTCTAATTTTCGTACTTATGGCCTGCTTTTGGCTGTGTGTGTGTTTGTGTGGCTTGGAGCTGTTTTTCACAAAAACAAAATTAACAAATGTTCACCGTTTGCGCTTTACAACCTTATTCTTTTAGGCTTACCATTTCGAATCGGCTCACAAAGTTTAAAAGGGTTCGTTCTTTCCTTTAAAACGAAACCATAACCAGCAATAAACGAAGCCGCAAGTACGATTCGCCGCCCGCAAGTACGAAGACTAGGCAAATGTGTGTACTACCCATCATTCCCATGGTCACTGAACGATCGCAGCGCCAGAGTCCCCTCTAGTTAATTTTAGGAAACTCTGTGTCAGCAACCACCTGCAAATCAACATGGCGGCGAAGGCATCGGCGGTGGGTCGCGTTGGCGCTATCGCGAACTACCCGCGCGGCACGTCAAAGCTCACGGCCTTGACAAGGACGCGGTGGTTGAGAGCCTGGTTTGGATTACGATCGCTGATAACACCCGAAGTAGAAGAAGGTGCAGCAGCAGCGAGTCGGCTTGCCCGAACGTGTTGTGCTTTTGAACTGCCGGCTGAATCCGTCGCCGCCGCTCTGTCCGCTCGTGTCATTTAGGCTGGCACGTCTTTTGAAATAATGTTAGTAAATATAATGTAGTAAGACGGTAAGTTGGGCCTGTTGGTTAGGATCTATCGTGAACTTATTTACAGAGCAACACCAGAAAAAACACAGGACAGGAAAGGAGCAAAAGAGAAAGAACAGTTGTGAGTCAGCGCCGTCTTTTCTTTCTCTTTTGCTCCTTCCCTTGTCCTGTGTTTTAATCTGGTGTTGCGCTGTAAATAAGTTCCCGATGGAACGTTTGTAAAGGTGTATAACTGTTTCTTTTCAGTGCCTTGTATGCATAATTATAACTCGGTACGAACTTCAGTGCTCAGGAAACGGGCAAAATGGAATGAATACTCAAGAGGCGATGGCGGCGGCATGGATGGTATGTATGCGAGGGGCAGAACGAATGTGAGTGTTCTCGACGGGCGTGGACGTGGTTTTCCGGCCGCACGGCCATTTTCGCTTGAATTCTGCAATGCGAATTCTCCAGGAATCGTTTTCTTTTTTTCCGTGTCGATTTCGCAGCGCGGCTTTTCCGGCTGCTTAAGCGAGGAAGCTGAGTGAATTTCTAATGAGTTTGGCAGCTTTCGCTCGCTCTGATGTCAACTGTGAACGCGCTGTGCCAGCAGCATGAGCGAAGAAACCGTGGCACTTAATTAAGAGACGGTGAAGGCAGGAAAGTTCAAAAGAAAATCAGCAGACTTTCTTTAGCAAGGTGTAGTTGCCAATGAAGTTCTTGTTCATCGTCTTTATCAGCTTTAGGTTGTTTTTGGTTGATACGAATTTGGGCTGATACGAATATTTTACGTGCTCCCTTCGAATTCGTATCATCGAGATTCTACTGTATTGTTATTTGTAGCATTATTGCAAGAAAATATTCTGTATTGTTATTTGTAGCATTATTGCAAGAAAATATAAGTGCACAGTGAATGCTCGATGGTTGATATTTTTACTATAACTTCCATTTAATTAAATAACAATCATACATTTGCTGACGTGCCATCATTACAAGAGTGACAGCACAAACCATGCCTTTTTCATTTATTAACTGCCTTCACATACCATCGCATGGCTAGTCATGTTTACTTTGAGTAATGTCATTTTAAGCTGCTTTTTTATTTTTTGTTTGCTAGTACTATTTCGCTCTTCATAAAACAAAGAGAACAATGATTGTTACAGTTCGCGCATATGAAGTGAGGCATTATTATGACACGAAAGACCAGGCTCATTAAAAAAAAAAAAGAAAAATTAAAGCAACTGTTAGGTCTGACACAGGTTCTGCTTTGTATACCTGAGAGGATAGTAATAAAACTTTAGCTTTCATACATCTAAAAAAAAAACAAGAAAAAAATTCGAACACTTTAGCCTTAGACAGCGTTGTACAGAAACATCATTTCATTTTTTATGAGGCAGCAAGGCGTCGCTAACAGTCAGCAGACTTATTCTTACATATTGATTACCAGCAATTGAACTATAACGCACAGGGGCTCAGCGCAGGTAAATATGCATGGCTATGCAGCAAGTGTGTTAACCACAAGACATGAAACAAATGCTTCAGATAACAAGACGTCAACCCATCTTCTACTTCTGCATTGCATCCATTCCTCTATACTGTAATTCGTTTGGTTCGTGAGAACAATGATGTACAAACTACTGAGAAGCACAATTTCAAAGGAACATGTGCACCGAGCTCAATATACTCCCAAGGCAAACACCAGAATAGCCTAGTTGTAACCATTACTCAATTATAAATGTACATGGCACTGACTACAGACATGTTTGGTGCATTGAAGACAATTGCTGGCCAGTATTTAGAGAGCCATTTTACTAACATATTATGTGTAATCCTATAAATAACACACTTGTGAGTATAAAACCATCGTGCAAATGCAACAAAAAATTTGAGGCTGCATGCCACGTTTCAGAGAGAGCCAATGCCCAACCCATAATAAATTACAATGCTCTGACGAATTTGATTGGGCTATGAGCATGCAATTTTGTGTCCACATAAAGAACACCAAAAGGATTAACTTTGCTGCCACTTCCGGTAAAAGCATCAAAGCTAGAACTGCGCAAATAACAAAATTTTTGGGTGCGAAACAAATTCAAATATTGAAGTGTGAATGTGAATTCAATACTTTTGGAATGTTTCTTGAATACTTCTAGAATATTCTTTGTATACTTTGAAGAAAAATTGAAGGAGAAAAAGTTTGGAGGATTCATAAATTTCATTAATATGAAAAATCAACATGGAAGTGTTTCATAATTGTCTTATCAAGTATAAGGCAATGCGGAGACCACATTGTATTTGTGTACATGGTTTGGTGCAGCCAAAGTGTTGCCGACAACAGTTTACACACGAAAGGTACAAAGGTGCTATTTCCTCAGTCTCTGTTCTTTGGACTTCCGTGAAAGCGCAACTGATGTGGCGGTCAAGGGCGTGCTCCCTTGGAGTTTGGAGTTCCAGATCTGCCAGAAGTCGATATATCAGGACATCTGAAGTTTTGGATGCTAAAAATCTTCGGCATTTGATTTCTCAAACTTCCTGGCTACCTTTAGGGTCCAAAACAGCATTGCTTGAGCCCCCACCTCTGCCACATCTAGCATCTCCATGTCGGAACAAGCCTTTCTGGAGGAAATACATTTGCAGCCTTAGCATAGCCTGAAAGACAGTTTTGCTGCAATACGAGTATGATGGAGCGCAGCATACTGAAAATCTGAAGGAGCCGTTGCTAGTCGAACATTGACTTTATTCGTCATAAGGAAGTTCGAATAGCTCAAACAGTAAATGTTCGGTGCAAAAATGAATCGAATAGCAGGCACTATCAGAAAAATATTCAAATTTTCAAATATTTCCACACCCTTAACCAGAACATTTAGGCACATAAATCAACTCTTGTATGTTACTCACAATAGTTATAATTCTTGTTGTTTTAGTTCTCAAGAGCATAATGCAATGATGAGGAACACGGTAGTGTAGGGCTCTAGAAATTTTGAACATCTGGTACTTTTTAATATGCACCTAAATCTAAGTACATGGGCCTCTAACATATGCACCTAAATCTAAGTACATGGGCCTCTAACATATGCACCTAAATCTAAGTACATGGGCCTCTAACATCTCGCCTCCACCAAAATGCAGCTGCCAAGGTCACGATTCAAGCCCATAACCTTAGAGTCGACAGTTACGCACCATAACCAACAGACCACCACAGTGGGTGATTCGTTGTAATAGCTATGGAAGAGAAAGTAAAGAGCCTTCTACAGCCACCATTGCCTACCTGAAGGTGTCCTTCAGCATGTGCCAAGTACTCATCAATCCAGCCGGGGTTACTAGGCTGGCCACAGAAGGAACGCATCACCAGTGTAAGGTGCACAACAGAGAGCATCAGGGCAGTACAACTGCAACAGGGAAAAGTGGGGCAAGCAAGTTGTCACGAACGACTCAAGGCGCTCACTGGCAGCAGTTATATAGTAGTCCATGTCTGCCCCACAAAGTGCTAAGTGTCCCCCTAATAAACTTCAGGCAGTGCACGTAATAGCAAAGACTAATTACCAGCTCGGTATATACACTAAGAACAAAACACTGCATAAAACACCGTTACTGGACAATGCACTTGCATAAACTGTATTTTGTACTTTTGCTTCATTATGACAGCAACTGCAGTGACACTTCAGGCAAAACTTCATCACAAGTGAACCAATAGTATAACCAGAAGTGCGACATACATACATACATACATACATACATATATACATACATACACAGTATTCCTCATTAATTACCGATTGTGCAGCATTCACTTATTATTATCATCATCCTCAGTAACAGCATCATCTAACTGAATGCTCACTTGAAGGCAAAGGATAATCCAAGAATCTCTCATTGCACCTGTCTAATGTTAGCTGACTTCATCCAATGCCTGCTAATTTCTCGATTTCACAATCCCGTGCTTTAAAATGCAAGTGTTCAATGCCGGGGTCCACCACGACTCCGCCGATGTATTTCCGTCACAGATGTGATGTAGTAATATATATTCAAAGAGATTGCAAAGAAACAAATGACGAGGAAAAGTTTCCCAGTTAGGCGTTGAACCATGAACCTCTTACTTTGCAGTGCGAAAGAACAGAAGTTCTTCATTTCTGGAGGAGCCGTTGGTCCACAAGCATATTTTATTGCTCGCAGTTTCTTACGATAACCTACATCCCGCATTATTAATGGGCCAAAATTAAACTGAACAGCACTTTAAAAGATATCAGAAGCTGACTTTCACAGACTGCCTCATCTCTTGCCCTGTTTAGTACAACATTATTAAATAAAGGTGCATAGCATTCTACCGTGCTTCCAGCAGCCTGGCATCCAGTGGTGGGTACATGGCGCGCACCACATCGTCCACGCGTGGTCCGACTCTCTGGGCAAGCTGTGCTAGCTCGGCTAGCTGCGCTTGTGTTGCCGGACGTCGAACCGATCCCACCGAGGCTGTTACTAGGCGCTCGGTCAACTGGTGACATGTCTTGAGAACAGCCAGACAGTGGGGCACCAATCCCCTGCAGAACACACGATTACATATATGAAGCCAGCCATCTTTCAAGTCTACTTTCCCACCAGAATATAAGAGAAACACAACCAAAATAAACAAGTTGACAAGGAACTGCATTGCAAATGGGGACATAAGCTTTGGTTATGGTGCACATAAGTGCAAGGAAGCAGACCAATTAAACTTTGTTATATTAGATGATGTTGTGAGCACCTAAGTTGTTAGATTATTAAGCACATGCATTTCCCCAGATGACACTACGTTTGAAGGAAGCATTAACTTCTATTCATTTTATCTGCATTACTCCCATTCCCTGCAATAAATACAGTGTCATACCATCAAGAGAGCTAAAGACCTCAGGATGAGAATATTACACAGTAAAACAGTGTCTATCTAAGAAATGCCAATGGCTAAAGTCAGACACCTACAGGTTAAATTTTACACTGCACAAAAGTGTTCTGGAGAGTTAAAAATGAAGAGAGCAATGCCAGTACAGACAAGAAATGAGCGCGACAACTGATGAGCACATTGATGAAGAATAAGCAAATAGACCATTACCTGAACAGCAACCAGAATGTGCTACGAGTTGTGCGAGCCTAAATAGGTATAAAAAAAAGCATACCTGCGCCAATAGCAAAATTTTGGGTATGAAGCGAATTCGAATATTGAAGTGCGAGTGCCAATTGAATTGAGTATTTTTTAGAATATTTCACGAATACTTCAATGTGAAATGGCAGGGGAAAAAAAAAAGTTGGAGAGGATTCTTAGACATATTCGAATGAGATAGCAACATGATAGTGTTTCTTTTGGCTAGGTTGATGATGTGCTAAAGGGTTGCTGTTTCATAGCGCGCTTCCCAAAAAGCCGATTCTCGGGAGACGATAATCTCGGCGTAAGGACGTCCGTTCTGGTAAGAAGACCGCGGTCGATCGCCCTTTTTAACAACCACCTAGGTGGTACCCGGCCAGCGGAGTGCCGGCAGGCGAAGAGAGGACATCCCGTGTATCGACACCTATCGATCTGGATTAGAGCCCGCGGAACGGCTGTCACGCTGGACAGCGTAGTCATCCTGCAGTAATGGCATGGACCTGCAGCCAAACGGCGCCACCATCCCGTGCATTCGCACAGTTCGCAAAACGTATTGTGTAGGCCGTCCTTTCGTCTCTCTCTCTCAGACCGGGAGGTCAAGTGCTTGAAGAAGAGAGCGAGAGGAGAGGATGGCAACAAGTGTGTTTAGTCTGCCCAATAAACAGACTGAATTGTTTTGGTTGGCCGTGAGGAGAATCGGGAGGGGCTACCGAGGGGTTAAACCTGGCTCCCGTTTCCTTACGGTCGTTCTGGTCGCAGCAGACAGTGCTCTGTACTATCGGCTCTGCCGAGTCAACATACGACAGTTCTAACGGTGAAGTCTTGTAAACTTGTACATAAGTTCCTGTACATAAAGTCGAGTTTTTGAACATATCGAAAGGTGCTGGTCTCCATCCCTGAACAAGCAGCAGCAGCCACAACAAGACAAGACCGACACTATGCAACCAACGTTTCACTCTCTTCTACAGCAACAGCCGCTACGCAGCTGAGAGAGCTCTGGTCAACGGAACAGAGAGAGTGGGCAGAAGGTCGAGTTTTACTCCACCTAAATACTTCTAACAATGTGGCTGCAAGCATATTTTATTGCTCACAGTTCCATACCATAACCTACATCCCACATTATTAATGGGCCAAAATAAAACTGAACATATGCTTGAAAAGATATCAGAAGCTGACTTTCCCAGACTGTCTCATCTTCGCCCTGTTTAGTACAAGAGTTATTAAATAATGGTGCATAGCATTCTACCGTGCTTCCAGCAGCCTGGCATCCAGTGGTGGGTACATGGCGCGCACCACATCGTCCACGCGTGGTCCAACTCTCTGGGCAAGCTGTGCTAGCTCGGCTAGCTGCGCTTGTGTTGCCGGACGTCGGACCGATCCTACTGAGGCTGTCACCAGGCGCTCGGTCAACTGGTGACATGTCTTGAGAACAGCCAGACAGTGGGGCACCAATCCCCTGCAGTACACACAGTGACGATGAAGCAAGCCATCTTTCAAAGCCTACTTTTCCACCAAAATATAAAAGAAACAGCCAAAATAAACAAGTTGACAGGGAACTGCATTGCAATGGGGACATAAGTTGTAGTTATAATGCACATAAGTGCAAAGAAGCAAACTAATTAAACCTTGTTAGATTAGATGATGTTGTGAGCACCTAAGTGTGTTTGATTATTGAGTAAATGCATTTCCCCAAATGACATTGCTTTCGAAGGAAGAATTAACTTCTATTCATTTTATCTGCATTACCCACATTCCCTACAAAAAATACAGTGTCATACCATGAAGAGAGCTAAAGACCTCAGGATGAAAATATTACACAGTAAAACAGTGTCTATCCAAGAAATTCCAACGGCTAAAACCAGACACCTACAGGTTAAATTTTACACTGCACAAAAGTGTTCTGGAGAGTAAAAAATGAAGGGAGCAATGCCAGTACAGACAAAAAATGAGCACTACAACTGATGAGCATGTCGATGAAGAATAAGCCAATAGACCATTACCTGAACAGCAACCAGAATGTGCTACGAGTAGCGCGAGCCTAAATATGTACAAATACAGTAGACCAGTGAAAATAGCAAAATTTTGGGTATAAAGCGAATCCAAATATTGAAGTGTGAGTGCAAATTGAATCGAGTATTTTTAGAATATTTCACGAATACTTCAAAGTGAAATTGCAAGAAGAAAAAGTCACAGCTTTGCCGCAAAGGCGAACCAATGAATGCGACAGCAACAATTTGAAAGGTCAGTGCAGAATAGAAAGCAGATCGTTTCTCGCGCACAAATTATGCACGAAACGTATTCACAGGTACAGATGCACGCGAATAAGCATCTCATTTTTTTACTCCGCTGAGTCTGAAAAGCGCGGGCGTTTCACGAATGAAGACTGCAATGATTGCAGTGACCTTTGTGCGCCCGGTAACCACAGCAGAATCGTTCCACGTAAAGCCCGAGGCCAGCCAAGGCCTACGATCCTCCCCTTCTCGCTACCCCTAGATAAGGGCGCACGAGGGAGCATCGCTCCCTTTCACTAAGCAGGGCAAAGTACGCGTAGGATATCAGAGCGGGCATCGCTGCGCGATGTGGCGACGTGCGCTTATTGCGTCATCTTTCTGGTAATGCCGAAAACACAGCAGTGGTAAGTGGTAGATATAAATAGCTTGCTGTTTGAACGGTGAAGAACGTTCTCCAGGGTGGATCAGTGGTTAACGCCTCGCTTTCACAACGCAGAGGCCCCACGTTCGATTCCGCGCGCCAGAGTGCTTTTCTCTGAATTTTTTTTTTCTTCTTGTGTTTTCATATATATAAATATGTATACGTATACGGTGCATGACATCGACGCCGACGGCAATATCCAGCCGAAAGTGTCCATATAATTGCTATTGCAATAAATAAAAGTTGGCGTATTCTTAGGCATATTCGAATGAGATAGCAACATCACAGTGTTTCTTTTAGTTAGGTCGAGGAAGTGCTAAATGGTTGCTGTTTCATAGCTATGTTATCGAGAATGAGGCCATGCAGTGGTCGGATTGTATATATGTTGTAGCATTGATATATGGCACAGGTAGGAGGACCAGTGAAAGAAGAGAAGGAAGAGTGTTGTTACTGCTCGCGCTCGCTCCGCTTGACAGCTGGTCTGCTTTACCTCTGCGCTTCCCCCAATGAAAGTGTCTTTGGCTCACTGCTAAAGGCGTACTAACAATGTACATAATTTGGTGCAACTAAAGTGCTGCTGACAACACTTCACGCATGAATGGCAAAGATTCCTCCGCCTTTCCTCCGCCTCTCTTCCTCTTTCAACATCCGTGTAAGCCCGACCGATGTGTCAGACAAGGGTGCGCTCCTTTCGAGTTTGATGTTCAAAATATGTTTCGCACACGTCAATATACATAAGACTGTCTGAAATTTTGGATGCTAAGAAACTTCGGCATGCAGTTTTTCAACTTCCTGCATAAATTAAATTAACTGAGTCACCATGTCAGCCACATCTATCATCTCCATGTTGGAACCTGCGTTTTTTTATTCATTACATCTTCGGTTGTAGCAGAGCCCGAGAGAGAGCTTCGCGCAATACAAAATTGTGATGGGGTGAGCATACTGAAAATCTGAAGGGGCCACTGCAAATTTGATGTTGACTGTACTTTTCTTCAGGAAATTCCAACAGTTAAATTCCAAAGTGAATCGAATTGAATAGCAAAGACTATTTTAAAAGCATCCTAATCGAATATTCACACACTACTAAAAATAGACAACGAACATCTGGCAAAGGAATGTCACAGAATCCTCTGTGGCACACAATAATTTCTGGATAAAGTTAACCACCACAACTCACTATCAAAATTTTATAGAATACCACAGATTGAATGCCCAATGATAAAATGCTTATGCTGATGTGATGGAACTATAATCATAAAAGAGTGTTTAGGCTCCTTAGACATTGCCCACTGGCTCAGAATGTGGAGACAGAATCACTCTTTCCTGTATTATGAATGAAATCAAATGAAAACAGCATGAGCAAATTGCAGATACTAACGTAGCATCGTCTACCCACTGCTCATCCTGCCAGAATCTTCTCAATGTCTGGGTGCAAGCGGACATCGTCAAGCTCCATATCAGCTGCCTCATTTTGGCTGTGAATCAGGTGCACATCAGGCCTGCAGCACAAAGAACATACAGTACTGTTTTCAAGGACTTATGACAATGACACAAGTAAATCTGTTATTTCTATTAATAGTTATATGGTTAATTTCCTATAGTAACAAGTGAGCTATGAGGACTGCAGGCGTGGAAGCCTGCACTCCAATTTACCCGGCAAAGGCCTGCTGATAATGAAACCAATGCTCAAAACTGTAGGGCTCATGAAGACATCGAAGACATTTGTTGAATTCTACATGCCTGATTTACTTTGCTTTGATAGCTCGGATGAAAGTCACTTTGATAGCTTTTAGAATTTACTATTGTACAAAGTCTTACAAATGGCACACACATTTACTGACTAACAATAATGTCTTTGCCTGCCTACTTCGTATGAGAATTGTGCCTGTGGGCCACACAATGGGTGAGGAAAACCTAAAGAACTATTTCAGTTCGAAATTGGCCCCCTGAGTATTCTACAGCAGGTTGGAGACTACAGTCGGGAACACCAATGTTATAGTAGCAGTGAGCGAACTTCATAGGGTCTAACTGACTCACCGGGAGTCCTGCTAGCTGACGGCTGAGATGGTCTTTGTTGGAGCAATACCGATGCCGGCACACCACGATCAGGGCAACCAGGGAGCTCACAAACACCACAGCTAACACACTGATGGCTACCGCTACCACGGCATCCATGACTGACACAACTGGACCCATCAAGCCACTTCTGGAATAAACACCAAGCAAGATTCTATGATATAGATGTCGGCACTCGAACAGGTACAGTCCTGGTAGTAAAGACCAGAAATATAAAAATTATGCCCAGTCAGCTGCAGGTTCGTTGAAGATGCCTGTATATGTAGGCCTGTATTGATGTGAAATAAGCTAGCTAGATATGCTCATATGTAGTTTATATAACAAGAAAGTTAGCCGGTGTTTCCGTACCACCAACTGATTTACATGCTCTATCAGATGTTAGTTTTCCTCTTGGTCACTGCCTAGGTATGAAAGACATTGAAATTTCAGGTCAAATAATTTCCACTTATACAAAACTTAAAGTAATGAAAATAACATTGGCATTGCAAATGAATTGAAAACTGAAATAGAAATGGTACCCTTCTATGTCGTTTTTACGACCTAGTGTTTTCATTTTAAAAAGAAGATTAAGACGCATGAGTAAGTCATCAAAATAAGGTTGTCCACCTTTCAGAGATTCTCAACAGCATTGCATGCCATTATTTAAAAAGAAACAGAGCAATCATCTGTTCTAAAACACTTCCTCAGCGAAGAAGACAGATTGTAAATACAGAGTAATTTATAGTGGCATTGAGCTGCCGTGTTTACTGGAGCTAAAAGGTAAGTGAAAAAACAGCAGCTTTATCGTTTTTATGTAGATCCATAGGTAAAGGAAAATAAAGAAATGTGACTAATGTTCCTTAAATCTAGCAAGGTCTCTCTATGGAGGGTTATGTTTATGATCAAATATTTCTACAATTGAATGATGATGCTTCTGGTCCTCACGGTGAGAAGTGCCATCACAAATGCAGAGGACTGCAATTGACAACTAACAAACTGCTTTTTGCAGAAAGTAATATTTCCCATTAATCGATTCAGTCATGGGGCACAAATTTATGTACACAGATTGTACTTCCTACTTCTGAACAGTGCTCAATGGTAAGAAAATGTAGAAAATTGGGCTAAACATAAAGTGAAGTCTCTCTATGCTCAAATCACTGTACCGTCATTTAACTCCACTGGGCTGAGTATTGGCTACAGATGAGCACTTTACTGGTGTGCTTCTTATTTCACTAGATGTTGAATGTGCTACATACGTACAAATACAGTCAAGTGATGGTGGCTCACGCATATGTCTATATGGCTAAATTGGAGGACACATGCATTAGCATGCCGCTGATTGATTGAACAAAGCAAACTGTTTTACACTAGTGTCACATAGTGCACCTACTGATTGAGATTAAGCCTGATCAAGATCAACAATCCCCATTCTGCATCTTGCTACAATCACTATCTAAAAATTCGATTTCAATTAGGGCTGATCCCGATCAAAAGTGACGGTCTGACACCTGGTATTAATCTCAAACAGTGACTGACTTCCGTAGAGAAGGTACTATGCACTATCTCCTAATCTTGCAGTAGTTACCTTCTGTTTTTTTATATTGCACAGTTAGTAATAATAATCACAATATATGGTGTTTAATGTCCCGAAACCACAAAATGTGATTGTGAGAAATGCCGTAGTGGAGGACTTCGGAAATTTCGGCCACCTGAGATTCCTTAATGTGCACCTAAATCTAAGTACACGGGCCTCAAACATTTTCGCCTCCACTGAAAATGTAGCCACCGCAGCTGGGATTTCATTCCGCAATTTTCGGGTTGGCAGTCGAGTGCCATCACCACTAGACCACCGCGGCGAGGCATATATTGCACGATTCACCAGGTGTATGTGATGCCAAATGTTACATTACAGTTGCGCAGGCTGTTATTATCCCCATATGTATGCATGAGGCACTTCTGAAAATAAATCTTCAGGAAGTTAGTGCGTCTCTTCTTCTTCTACACATTTCACTGCACGTTTTTGTACTGTGCTTTACGTGTTGAACAGTAGGGAGTTTTCGAATAGGGGACCCGAAAGTTTGGGGTCCCAAAGAAATAGCTTCAAGATCACTGTTCATGCGCAAAACCCAAACCGCATTTGGGTTTTGGGTTGGGACGCTATTTCTCGAATTTAGCGGGAGCCCCAAAGCATGGCCCCAAAAGTTTTAAGTGACGGCACCCACTGAAGTGATGGCTCTCGGCTAAGAAAAGAGTGACACAAAATAGGGGGAGTGTGGCAGACCCTATTTGAAAACTCATCTATCCCACTTGACCTAAAGCGTCCATAAGCAAAGGGCTCAAGGGCCCTAATTTTTGGGGCACCTATTTGAAAACTCCCTAATAAGAATTCCTGTGTACCTAGTTTTAGCCCAGCATTATTCGCATTTAAGCAATGCTGAGTTAGCCTATTACTAACAATATCGCTCTTAAGGGAGTGGCACACCGGTATGCTTCCCTGCTGAACATTTGCATGAAATCATTGTAGTGCAGAGAACAGTAAAAACGATAAGTAACTTGTGGGAGGTCAGGCATGCAGCGTTACCAAGAAAAATCAGTGACGCTCTAGGACCAAAAAACAGGGTACTACATGAATTATCTGATTTGAATAGCTTATGACACAATGATTATGATATTTCTAGTACCAGTCATGAGGGCAAATGATCACTTCAGATTGCGATCGGGCCTTATCGAGACCGAATTTCCAGACTGAGATTGACTAACTTGCGCAGGCTGTGGAAGGGAGCTGATCACGGCCGAGAAATTTGTTCCAAATCGGGCTCAATCGCGATCGAAACTGCCCCGTGAGACATCGGTATCGAAGAACATGCTTTTAAAAACTTTTCGCTCGCTATCAGCCACTTTTTTTTTTATCAAGCAGGCAAATGATAGAACTGCAGATACGTTGGCGCACATAGGTACGAGGTAACCGTGATAAGTCAGATTAAGCAACAAGTACAGCGCGCCGGTCACCACGGCATCAATACAAGCGCGCGCTGCAAACCTGCTATCAAAACTTTGCCAAGGCCTCGAACAAAAACAAAACTTTGCAAAATCGATAGCAGCGTGTAGAACCGGTGATAATACAACAAAACTCTGCGAACGATGACCGACTGTGCTGTTTAGTAATGCCGCATGGCGATCATATATCCTTGATAAATCGGTTGATATTGCGCAGATTGAATAGATCTGCTCGGTGGGACAAAGATGTACTATGTAATTACTTTCGTACGATCAGTCATGGTAGTATAAAGCGATGCTAAACGGCTTGAGATGTCACCCCGAATCCCGCAGCCTTGTATATTGATTCCCGTTGCATGCCGAATATGCGAGAAGCCATAGCGCAACAGGTCTTGAAGTTGTGCGTACTTGCCTAAAAATAAAGTTGACAGTCACATGTCAGGTTTCGAAGCGGCGGTTTTAGTCAGGGCCAAGTTGAGTCCACTTAGTATCAACAGAATAACAACAGTTTTCACGCTGGAGTTCATTCACATCACAGGCAAAACAGCAATTTACAACCAGGGCTACCCGCGAGTTGCTTGCCTCACACCCCACCAAAACAGGATTCTCGTAGGCCGCCTGACGCTTCGTTCTTTGGGCGCTGCTAGTCGCACACTTTCGTTTTCTCGCACGACGTGTGTGCGGACCACTTTCACCGTGGAGCGGACAACGCAAATGGTCTTTCTTGGGATTTAACGCAGAACCTTTAGTCTGCATTCTGTTGTCTGGTCCGTTGAATGATTCGTTTTAACTGCTTGCTCAGCGCACACACAAATGGTCTTTCTTGGGATTCAACGCAGAACCTTTAGTCTGCATTCTGTTGTTTGGTCCGTTGAATGATTCGTTTTAACTGCTTGCTCAGCGCACACACAAATGGTCTTTCTTGGGATTCAACGCAGAACCTTTAGTCTGCATTCTGCTGTTTGGTCCGTTGAATGATTCATTTTAACTGCTTGCTCAACGCCCACACATTTTGATCTGGTGGCTGCGTTCCGTACTTGTGAACATTGCCAATCAAACGGCAAGTATTACGCACAGTCTAGGCGCATCAGTGCATCTTTTTTTTTTTTTACTGAATATGCATTAATACATAATTATAGAAATTGAAGTGTTTATTACCCTGCACTGACAATGCGAATTTCTATGATGCTATGAACGAAAAAGAGGGCGGAATGGAATGAAAAAGCTTTATTGCAGTCCTGCGGGACGCACTTAGCCCGTAGCGGCGTCTGCCACGTAGGGACCGACAGGGAATACTTGGCGGCCGCTTCGTGGGCCTGCTGGACGGCCCATTGCTTGTCGGCGAGAAGTGAGCTCCTGAGGGACCTCTCCCACTTGTTTGAGGTAGAGTCGGGAGGGTTTTTTTTTTTTTTTTACACTCCCAGAGCATGTGTGTGTGTGTCAGCGTGTGTCCACATGATGGGCATGTGTCGCTGGGGTATGCATCAGGATAATAAACGTGAAGCGTGGCAAGGTTTGGGTACTTGTGTGTCTGTAATAGGCGTAGGGTTAATGCATGCGGTTTGTTAAGTTTCGGATGTGGGGGTGGGAAAATGCGGCGCTCAAGGTAAAAGTGCTTCGTTATGTTATTGTACGTAATGGGTGCATTCCGATTGGTCTCTAACTCAGCAAGATGGGGTTGCCCTGTGGCGGTGCGGTCGGTAAGTGCGCGCGCTGCATTATGGGCGAAGAGTGTGCTTCCTACGCTTTGCTAAAGATTCCACGGTGACTCTGCATTCTTAAATAAAAAAAAAACTTCGGTTTCTTCATATTACTGCCAGATGGCGTCATATTTCACGCAGCGCTAGAGTTACTGTATATGTTACCTAAAGGTAGCATATACAGTAACTCTACGCAGCGCCTCCTTTCTACGCCATCCGCAGTGATGCACGGAAATAGTGCTACGAACAGGAACTGATGTGCGGAACGGGTACCCGCACGTTGCGACCTCGATCGACGCTGATAGCAATATATAAGGCAACATAAATGAGAAAGCAGAAAGGCACACGTAGGTGCATCTCTGTCGTATCCGTGTCTTCCCTGTTTCTGCCTCTGAAATGCAATCTGTAGGCAAAGTTGGCTAAGCGGGTGTCCCCCCCACCCCTTATTATCTAAGGAGTGCGCCAAACCCATATATTTACTCAGTCAGACATGTCCTATCCTTGTGCACTGTGTTAGTGAGCACGCTTATGGCCGTGCTAGTGTTTTGCGATAATAGCGGCCGAGGCCGGACTCCTGGTGTTGCTTCCAAGTGCAGTGTATTACGGATTCGGGGGGGGGGGGGGGGTACGTCGAAGTGTTAGTGACACCCAACCCAAATCTACACGCCTCCACAAAAGCACTGTCCTGAACCTAAGCATACCCAGGGTTCCAGTTCAGTAGGGGGGGGGGGGGGGCGGGGGAAGGCAAAGCTATAATGTTTAATGTATGGGGTTCAATGTCTGCATCATCATCATCATCAGGCTGACTACGTCCACTGCAGGACAAAGGCCTCTCCCATGTTCCGCCAGTTAACCCGGTCCTGTGCTTGCTGCTGCCAATTTATACCCGCAAACTTCTTAATCTCATCTGCCCACCTAACCTTCTGTCTCCCCCTAACCCGGTTCCCTTCTCTGGGAATCCAGTTAGTTACCCTTAATGACCAGCGGTTATCCTGTCTACGCACTACATGCCCGGCCCATGTCCATTTGCTCTTCTTTATTTCACCTATGATATCCTTAACCCCCGTTTGTTCCCTAATCCACTCTGCTCTCTTCTTGTCTCTTAAGATTACACCTACCATTTTTCTTTCCATTGCTCGCTGCGTCGTCCTCAATTTAAGCTGAACCCTCTTTGTAAGTCTCCAGGTTTCTGCTCCGTAGCTAAGTACCGGCAAGATACAGCTGTTATATACCTTCCTCTTGAGGGATAGAGGCAATCTACCTGTCATAATTTGAGAGTGCTTGCCGAATGTGCTCCACCCCATTCTTATTCTTCTAGTTACTTCAATCTCGTGGTTCGGCTCTGCGGTTATTACCTGCCCTAAGTAGACATAGTCTTTTACAACTTCAAGTGCACTATTACCTATCATGAAGCGCTGCTCCTTTCCGAGGTTGTTGTACATTACTTTCGTTTTCTGCAGATTAATTTTAAGACCCACCTTTCTGCTCTCCTTGTCTAACTCCGTAATCATGAGTTGCAATTCGTCTCCTGAGTTACTCAGCAATGCAATGTCATCGGCGAAGCGCAGGTTACTAAGGTATTCTCCATTAACTCTTATCCCTAACTGCTCCCATTCTAGGCTTCTGAAAACCTCCTGTAAGCATGCGGTAAATAGCATTGGGGAGATTGTGTCCCCCTGCCTTACACCCTTCTTGATTGGTATTCTGTTGCTTTCTTTATGAAGCACTATGGTAGCAGTTGATCCCCTGTAGATTTCTTCCAGAATGTTTATATATATACTTCACCTACGTTCTGATTCCGCAGTGTCTGCATGACGGCTGATATTTCTACTGAATCAAACACCTTCTCGTAATCTATGACGGCTATGTATAGTGGTTGGTTATACTCTGAGCATTTCTCTATTACCTGATTGATAGTATGAATGTGGTCAATTGTTGAGTAGCCTGTTCGAAATCCTGCTTGTTCCTTTGGTTGATTGAATTCTAATGTTTTCTTTACTCTGTTAGCAATTACCTTTGTAAATAGCTTGTATACTACACAGAGCAAGCTGATCGGCCTGTAATTCTCCAAGTCCTTGTCATCTCCTTTCTTATGTATTAAGATGATGTTAGCGTTCTTCCAAGACTCTGGTACTCCCCCGTCAGGAGACACCTCGTAAACAGGGTGGCTAGTTTTTCTAACACAATCTGTCCTCCATCTTTCAGCAGATCTGATGTTACCTGATCCTCACCAGCAGCTTTACCTCTTTGCATGCTCTCCAAAGCTTTTCTGACTTCTTCTATCATTACTGGCGGGGTGTCATCTTGGTTACTGCTAGTTCTTATAGTATTAAGGTCGTGGTTGTCTCGGCTACTGTACAGATCTCTGTAAAACTCCTCCGCTATTTTAACTATCCTATCCATATAGGTAGTTATTTTGCCCTCTTTGTTCCTTAGTGCATACATCCGACTTTTGCCTATCCCAAGTTTCCTCTTCACTGCTTTGACGCTTTCTCCGTTTTTCAGAGCATGTTCAATTCTCTCCATGTTATACCTTCTTACATCGCATACCTTACGTCTATTAATCAACTTCGAAAGCTCTTCCAGTTCTATTTTGTCTGTTGTACTTGAGACTTTCATAATTTGACGCTTCTTAATGAGATTCTTCGTTTCCTGGGAAAGCTTGCCAGTGTCCTGTCTAACTACCCTGCCTCCAACTTCCACTGCACACTCCTTAATGATACTCGTCAGATTATCATTCATTGTATCTACGCTAAGGTTGGTTTCCTCACTAAGAGCCGAGTACCTGTTCTGAAGCGAGACTCTCAATTCCTGTACTTTCCCTCTCAGTGCTAGCTCATTGATTGGCTTCTTGCGTATCAGTTTCTGATACGCAATGTCTGCGCCCCCTTTTAATAGGTAACTAGGGGGGTGGCCACCCCCTCTGTCCTCCTCATGTGTTCAACGCCCATAGGAATAGTCGACGGTGCACTGCGTAAACTCGCCAATGCCTGCAAGACGTCCATCTTAAGCGTTAATAAATACCTGACCTCGGTAGCGTCGACCCGACGAACGCAAACAATAAATTTCAGGGTCCCAGCTGGAATTGAACCCAAGCATTCTGCGTGGCAATGAAGTATTTTAGCACAGAGCTACGCCATGTCTCTTGATTACTTTTCGAATAGACGCTAATCTTCGTGAAACGTCAATAGTGGTTGCAGTGTTGCCTACCAATTTTATAAACATTACATATGTACTCCTTCGATACAGCCGTCACGTCGGGTTAACGTCAATTGTGGTTAGTTGCCATGCGCTGAAGTTGAGTTATGTAGCAGTGTCCAGGGCCAGCATCCTCGCGAGCATCAGAGCTTCTTATCAGCTTCTGGTGTTACTAATACGCATGTTCGAGTTGGCTTTGTTGCGCGAGTGCAAACAACTGGTTATATAAACATCTGCAACTTTTCAACATATGTCTGTGAGTGCAACATTTGTACATGTATTTAGTGTCATTTCGTGGCGCGTCACTCAATAAAAAAATTTAACATGGTCATCTTTCCTTCGCATAACGTCGATTCCTAGGTATGTGGGATCTGCCGAATTTTATTATTACTATTATTATAGCAACGTTGTTAAGGTCGATGTTTGCCGTGCGTTGTAGATATATAGCATATGATCCTCATCATGGCCCGGCTCACACTATCTTCGTCCTCTTTTTCATAGCCTTATTCTTCTGCTTCACTACCAACTTCGATTTGTGTGGCTGGGGATGCAATAAATTGATGGGTGGGAGAATGAGTATACAGAAACAAGAAATAGGAAGACAAATTTTGGAGAACCGCGAGGTGACATTCGAACATCGATCGCGTACCCATGATCCGAATGCGAGCGTTCAACCCACACGGCTGTACAGGCACACTGGCATAGC